GGTCATCTCGTATTACGTCTCGTCTCCCCCGTCTGCTAATTTATCCATCACTGATCTAATATCGTCAGTGGATTCCCCGCAGACACAACATTGTTCCTATTGTTACACCTCCAGAACTATCAAAATGCATTGTATTATTGTAGTAGTATGTGTCTGTCGCGGTCGCACTGTACCACGAGGGTGGATCGCAGCGACCCGTCCACATGGCTTTTCTCGTAACTTACCCTGATGGACCAGCCTGACTGGCAGTTAGACACCAGTGCTTATAGCCCGATAATCGTCGCAGAAACGCCTCGGGGTGAGACCGATCCAGACCGAGCCCTGCTCATTGCTTACTGGTGGTCAGCCGCTGCGGACATGCACCGATACAAGCTGGAGTACAGTACCTGAGCTGGAGATGTTCGGCTATTCACTCACTTACCCGTTGTTCCCCGTTACCTCAAACAATATATTTAAATAGGCCTAGTAATGATCTGCTGGATATATCCATCAGCACTAAACAGTTCCCTTCTTCACCCTGGCTTAGGCTTTGCAGATATAATAGTCTGTTACTGAGTAGTCTGTAATTGTCAGGGCAGTCACCCAACAGTGACCTTGGTCGGTAAAATCCCCATTGATGAGGCTTGCAAACCAGTTAGAAAAGCAGAGTGGGTTGGCCCGTCTATCATTTCCTGAAACAAGCTTAGAGGGGCAGCCCCATAATGACAAATACCTTAAAATCGCCCCACCAACCAGAGACACGCTTTGGCGAGAGTTCGTCATGTCATGACTATGAGCTTCAGGGGTTCGTGCTTCTATTGCTCTGATTGGACTAGCGTATTACGATTATACATACCTGTACTTGTTTGTATGGCTCTGATCGTTCTCCCCGCTGTACTGGGTATTAAAGACTGGTGGTAATGACATGCCGCCATTTACCCACTACTTCTACGGGAGTCGTGGTTATTCTGATTGCAGGTCATCTGTGGTTCCTAACGGCTTTACGGAGTAGAGAGCGGGGTGTCATTCAAAGAAGCGTTATGATGGAGTCTGGTAGTTGCAGACTGAAACTGTAGGTAGACCCTCCATCAGCCTTCATATCATACCCCCTCAGTGGGCTTTAAATAGTATGCTCTCAGATCGAATCCTGCTCCGTGCAAACAGAGAAATACAGCCGAACAGGGCCGATTTCATCAATTCCCGGACCAACAACATCATGCTGATCCTGATTCTAGAAGTTTACCAATGATGGAACTGTATTTGAGATAGGAAAATGCTTATGAATAGGCACACCTGAAAACTGGAATTATAACGATCAAGTTATGATCAGCAGAGTTGATCGCTGATAAAGCTTATTAGTGCGGTGCAATTGCATGGGTTCCATGGTTCAACAGGCAAATAGTCAACACCACCTCGGAACCTCGACTGATCAATCAATCGCGGCATCGTGTGCACGAATCGATATCACAGCCAAATTCTCCGATGTAATGGGGCGCCCAATGCCCTCGCGTGGCGGCTAAGCGCTGATCAAGGAAAAGTTAAACATGTCAATCAATAATGATCGCTGGGTTGACATTTCCACATACTCAAATCCTGTCAATTTTACCTTTTCCTCCTTCGAGACTATTGTCAATTTGTTCCCCAGTCGCCCGCTATGACAGGGCATGAGCTTATGGGCAGACGCCAAGTAACGGCGGTACCATTTTCTCAAGCAGCCGAACATGCCTGATTGGGTGACATCTCTTCTTGCATCGATGAGATGGTGAACCTATGAGTGGTTCCCGACTTCCCCGATGTGTCGCTAGTTGACCATGAACTTGAGCCATTGAAGACAAAGTATTTGGTCAGCATTGTGGCTGCATGAGTACGACGCGTGGCTCAGCAGATTGGAGGCTGCGAGTCAGGGTCAACCACTATCTCTTTCCTAATAAGGACTTCGTACCTCGATCTGCCAAGTGTAAGAGGCTTGCAATGGCTTGCTTGCTTCTTTCGCCATTCCTTCACTCGATCTATCACGCGAACCGTACAATATTCTCCCACGATGCCACAATGGAAGGGGAAAATAGTTCCATGGAAAATTTTCACAGAAAAAGGGGTAGAATGAGACCTGTCAATCTTCCATTCATCTTCTCGAATGAAGCGAGTTGACACCCGCAACTTGGGCTTGGTCCCTGCAGCGAAACGTGAGACAGGATCTCAAACATGAGATTTTGGTGGAGCGTTTGCGTGGTGTCTCTTTTTCTTTCTGGCTGGTGAGTGAGGAACCTGGGTTTTTACGTGGACACCATGGCAGCTGACCTTACCGGGGTTCTGGTGAGCTGCGTATCCATTCTGGTACAGCTAGGATTCCAGGAAATAGGCCATCTCTATAGCGCCCCACTCCCAAAATATCATTATGATGGACGGTAGCTGGATGTGATGTTGTCATTACTTGCAATGGAATGATCGGATGCAATGATATGATGTAAGTAACTACGTAAGTAAACGATCCATCTAGTGAGTGTGTAAGCAATCATGCAGTACTAGGTAACTATGTACAGAGTAGTAAGTATGGACGTAATAAGTATGGACATCATGCCTGTCAGTGGTGGCGCCGACAAGCAGGTAGCTACGCCGATTCGAGGCTGCGTATTGGCGAGATCCATGGCGATCGTAACCAGGCTGGGTTAATATCAAAGTAAAAAGATTCCAAATTCCAAGGAGGCGCTAGATGCAGAGGCGCCAATCATGATTCTCCACTAAACGGTTCATCTTTCATGCCTGGGTAACGGCCTACGGAAGAAGTGGAGAGATCAGGATTGGCTTCATGGCCAATGATGACACGAAATGGCCGAGGGGTGGACATGGCTGGCTGAGGCTGCCTCAATACACATCCATGCAATGAGATAGAGAACAACCAGCTCTCATGATTTGTTTTTCATTTGCATCTTGTTATTTCAGCGACACTGATCAACAATAGTTCTTTCATTGGATATGATTTGTTTGGATACAATGAGTGTACCTGCCTATTGACCTAAATAAAGTGGACAAAGCATGGAAGAATCCTGGTTAAATATTTGTCTGCCAAGCCAGAGCACCTTTCTTTTCCTTTCCAATAACCTCCCGCCCATGATATTATATTTGACTTACATTTGATAGAGTAGTACATGCTCTGTTGTGGAAAAGGATTCTAGTTTACGGAGGACTACCTTTTTAGTACTGCATTCCTAAATCAAAACAAGCCCTAATTCCGAACCCACGATGACTTCTTGGCGCGGGTTCATTCGTCCAGACTCCAGAGGAGGCCGTTTCTGCCGCTCCCGTTTTTCTGTCAGGGCCTGAACCTTGAAGAGCATGGGCCATCCATCGCCATCAATGGCTTGACGATAGGGAGAGTATTTGTGTTTTACATAGGGATAAATTGAATTGATAATAGAATCAAGGCTGACAATTAGGCTGGACCTCTATTTGTTAACCTTCTTTCCTGTCCATATTGCTGTGGAGCACCATCGCAATTTGATATTCACCTTCACTTGATCTATCAAGTATCAATATGCTTCCAAATTGTTCGTACAATTATCGAAAGCCCAGGGATCGACTTGCGTTCCCCTGAATCACAAGTATCCTGAACCAGTAATATTCATTGTAGATTGTAGATTCCCGGACACACGAGGTCCGTAGTTTTGGAATTATCCTGCGCCCCATAACCCTGTGTAGGCAGGAGTTATTCGCATGACCTCACACCTTCCCACTCTTCAGTACGATCCTCTGGCAAAAGCAACTGACTGAACACCAAGGTATCCACCAGAGAAGAGAGATCATTCTGTATCACACAGCATTGCTGACAGCAACAAGATCCCTGTTGCAATACCGAGCCTGTGGGAGACTACAATGGACCACCCCACGATCTGGAAACGCCCAAGCTGCAACTGCAAGCTTGCAGTTGATCACTGTCACAGTTGGCTTTTCTTTTTTTCCTTTTATTTTTCTTTTTTTTAATCATTTCTTTTTTCATTTTCGCCGCCACTCGTTGTCCGTCTAGCCTTTTGTTCGCTTGCTGGTTTTGGCTTTGGGACCCCCTGTCAGACTGATGGGTCTGGTCCCCTGGCTTTCCCAGAAGGGATACTGCGCAAAGCATCCACATACTTCTCTCTCGGTCTGCCCCACCTGCATGTGGGATCATTGTCACGGCAGGATTCGGTTTTATGTCAGTGTATACTTTGTCTATACTTTCAGGTAAAGAGTCACTAAAGGGCTCTTAACAAATTCAGTATTAGCAATTAATCAGCTGCAAATAATTATTAAAATAGCGTTCATTAATATGGAATTTTTATCAGTAGCCGCCCTCCTGAGGCTCACTAGTCCGTGGTTACAATTGTCATACATGGTATCTTACAGACAGACCAAATACAGATCTGTAATAATACAAGAAAATAAATAAAATATTTAAAATCAAAAAGAAAATCATATTATTCCGACAACTGTCAGCTCCGAGATCTTGGATCAGATCTTCTCCTATAGCGTGCTTGATGTGTGGAGCAGTACGACCTAGTGCTACTGTAGTCTGTAGCCATTTCCATTTTTCTTTTTGACCCGTCTCCCTGGACTGGACTGGACTGGACTGGACTGCTGCTTTGGTTCGTTCTGAGAGAATAAATAAGTCCATCACCATCTCCGTCTCCTGTCATGATTATCGCTGTTCATCGTCCTGGTATCCCATCCGCATATAACTACAACCTCTGCCACGCTCTTCCAATCGACTTCCAATTCACAATCGACTTCAATCGACACCAATCAAGAGCTTACTTGGTTTCATCATTCTCCTTCAGCTGTCTGCGCGCTAAACGGTCTGCTCCCCACTATTCGGGTTTCGGGGTTAAGTCCAAGCCTGCCAGCCTTGTGCCAACCTTTTTCGCTCGCAAACCAACTATATTACCAAACTAGTCCCAAGCTTCATTCTTCTTTCTAAATTATACTCCTCTGTCTTGTGTATATCTTTACTTAACCAAAGCCTAACTCTATCTGACACACTTTCGGTCGACATGGCACCAACTCATCGTCGAGGACCTTGGGTCCCTGAGGAGGACCAGTTGCTACTTCAGTTGGTCCGCGAGCAAGGCCCCAACAACTGGGTGCGCATTTCACAGCACATGCACTACCGGTCTCCCAAACAATGCCGGGAGCGATTCCATCAGAACTTGAAGCCCTCGTTGAATCGGGAGCCCATCTCCACCGAGGAGGGCTTGATGATCGAGCGCATGGTCAACGAGATGGGCAAGCGATGGGCCGAGATCGCCCGACGACTAGGCAACCGCAGCGATAACGCAGTCAAGAACTGGTGGAACGGCAGTATGAACCGCAAGAGAAGAGGTCTCTCTGCCGCTACCACGAGCCCATCCCGCACATTCCATGGCCGAGTCGAAGCTCCGTACCCGCGCGCCTCGACGACCCTGAGCAGTCCCATCAACCGTCCCCGCTTCTCCCTCTCCCACGACAGACCTCTCACTTCATGGACGAACTCCTCCAGTATCCAGACACGACGAGAATCCTCCGCCGCCTCGGTCGACTGCCCCCGGCAGTTGAGTCCCATCTACACTCTTCCTGCTCTGAACCGCCCCGTCGAGACGCCCTTGACTTCGCCCGCCTTCTCGGATGTCTCTCCTCCTTCGATGGTCTCCGACCACAACTCGGTTTCTTCAGCATCCCCTAGAACCGTTGCATCGCCGCAGCTGCTCCCGCTTCCGGTCGACCTTCGCAGACAAAGTCACGGATCCGAGGACGGATACGTGAGCCATACATACACCAATCTCAAGATCCTGGAGCCGTTCTCCGACGTGGCTTCGAAGCCACGCTGGGTCCCCGATCATCAGCCTTGGAGCCATCCGACCGCATCATTGACACCGGCATGGACAACGCCGGAGCCTTGCAGATCGGAGCAGCAGTCCCGACGAGACTCACGAATGGGTCTCGACAACCTGCTTAATTAAATGATGCCTTGCAACGACCGGATGAGCTTTTTCTTTTTTGTTTCAAGGGCAGTGCCTCTGTATATATGACCCGACCTTTGTCTCTCTTTACATTTCCTTACTGTCTTTATCTCCTTTGTTTTACGGTGTACAAATTCTGGTGAGAGCGCCGCGGCGGGATACGTGGTAATCCTAATCTACAAGAAAAGCACGGGTGTGTTTATCTTCTGCAAACAGGAAAAGGGACCTTGAAGTTACTACTACTGGAGCATATTTGGACTTGATAATACCCCATTGTTGTTGATGATCGCAAAAGGAACAAATGAATCATAATGTTTATTCTACTGTTATTACCGTAATCTACTAAGTCCCTCCTCCGTCAGCCTTCGGATCCGAATTCTCTCGCGGGAACGAGATCTGCTCTGTAATCCGCACCAACGACGCAAGGCGAGACCGTGGCTGGCTGTCAGGGTGGAAGCGAATCGCCACAACACACATACAGACTCACGAGGATCATGCAAGGGGTGATGGTGGAGGGGGAACGGCAATCACGGAATCAGCCAAAATCTCGCACTCGCGACTTGCCTGCTAGTTGCCCTTGGGTACAAATTCCATCCAGCCCGATCTCACTTCATTTGTTAGACAGACAGAAAATAAAATGAAAAAAAAGGAAGAAAAAGAAAAGAAAAGCAGTATGCATGCAATCAAGACCCTGACCAGAATTGACAGATAGAAACTATCGCCGACCTCTACGATTACCTCCCAGCGCCCCAGATCCTATCATTCGAGTGGAGGAGCCCACGAGCCAGATATCAAAAGATGGTTTCATGCAGATTAGCGCGCCTCTGTCACTCTGCTGGGCTTGGACGGTCTGATAGGCCGGGGTACGGAGTACCCAACTCCAGTCCCAGTCTTCCAGTCCCAGAGTTCCAGCCGGGATGGGTTTGGACGATCGGGTCAGAAGATGAGAAGCTAGTGGGGACTGGACTTGGCCAGTGAGGGTGGTGGATTGGCTTTCTTCCGTTTTGACTCGCGTGCAGGGCCGCTAATGTCAAGCTTGCTTCAAGGTTTGCATGTCCGCTCCATTGTAGGCTGGAGGCTGTAAGCTGTAAGCTTGGGTGTACCGTTCTTTACGGGTTACTTCCTAGGTACTGCAACGGTCATCGAAGCGATCGAGCCTTATCTGTCTATGGATGATTATGTAGGGGTGGGTTACCGATGAGCTTGGGTAGCGTATCATCATCTATTCTCTCCATCTAGGAGTACACAGTACCTACAGTGTACAAGCATCTGGTTCCGGGAAATGTACCGTAGGTCAGTCCTTCACGTCAGTTGACACCTCAGTCAGCCACAATGGATAGCCTCCTCCACTGATCGCTGCCAGCCCCCAGTGTCGCCAGTCGCCAGTCGCCACCGCGGACTGCAGATGCATGTGCAACAGCAAGTAGTCCCAGTCTCCATGCAAGGCAGGTTGGTTCAAGCTGAGACGAGACGAGACGAGACGAGACAAGGCTAGATACAATTACTCCGCCGAGACGGGTGGGATGGCTGGCCCATAGTGCTCCCAACAAGGCACAGTTCATCCGCTTCTAGCCTTTCTACGAATGCAAGTACATGGCTATGGCAATTCCCCTAGTCAGCGGGGAGAAAAGAATAAAAATTACAGTACTGAGTAGTCATTACAACAGTGCAGGTATAGGTTCTCCGTTAACATTCCTAAATGACTCTGCGGTCCACGCAAGTGGGGATTACTGACTCGGTACTTGTCTGTCCTGCGTTGGCTATCTATCTTAGACATCTGGGATGGTTCCAAGATAACCGTCAGAATGTCACTATGACGAGGACTGACAGATAAAAGAGGCGTACGGCAAGTACCGCAAGTTTGGCGGTAGGATACATAAACAGGCGGCTTTGAGTGGACTGGAGGGGACCAGCGACTCCGGCGAACCTGGAATAAGTGTATTTGGAATTGTCTTGGTTAGTTGATTGGTTGGCGCGGCGTGACGTAGGAGGGCACCTAGATAGATATCACGCACTTGGTACACTAACAATTGATCGCTCGCGCCGAAACCAAGGTAGCGAGGATTTCCAATAGTAGTAGTACTCCATGTATGTTGCTGAAACTTGAGTAACGAACAATGCCATTATCCTGTCTATCATATTTGGCTCAGTCTAATACTGATGATAACTAAAAATAACTCCCGTCTGCAAGCTGAAACACCCGTTCTGGTGATCATTAATTGGAGTTGGGGCCTTTCCCGTGAGGCCTGCTTCTTATTTTGTAGCGTGGTGGAGGGGACTCGTCTCGATAAGCGAGATCGCTGTCTTGTCTTGTGCGTTTATTCTGTCGGAGTGGAGCTTGACGCAGGAAGTACTAACTGAACCTGCCCTTAAAGAGACAATACCCATATCAGTATTTCTGCATCCAGAATATGTCATCACAAATAACAGCAGACTCTCTGTTCCAGGTTGGTAACATCAGCACCGGCTATCTGGCTACTTCCCGATCAGGAAAAAGAACACCATCTCCTCGGAGCCCTCGAACCCATTTTTTTAACACGGAACCGTTCCTGAACCGTGAGCCGGGGTTCTCCAGTGGTCCCCGCTTGCCTTGGGAGGACCCAGAGCCTGAGCCAGACAAGAGTTGAGAAACCGTTGGTTGGCCGTTTGGATGAAACGGCCAGGCGACGAGGCCCATGGTTGCCTCTGGCTTGACCTTAATAGTGTGCTTGATCGGTCATGTGGGCTGTGGGGCGGTTTTGTAATCTTTGGGTCGATTGGGAAACTGTACCCTTAGTATCGTTGTCTTACTCTTACGAAAAGAATTCATGTGTTTTGAAGTATAGTTTATGAAAGTACCTAGGATAGTGCTTGAGTTGATCCTCTGATCTGTACGGAGTACTACAATTAGTACGAAGATGCACTGTACTGTGACAGCCGGGCAGGATCGGCTAACGATGCTTATAACAGACCCATGCATACGCCTCATTCCAATCAAGCCAACCATTAGAAGATATCCTTGTTGAATCCAGTAGGTGTAATATTGCTATGAATCCTGCAGGAGTAACAAGAGTATGATTTTCTTAGCTTTTCATTCGTGCTTTGGTCAGTCTATTTATTGGGCTTAATATGCGGAAGCCGGAACGTTGATAAGGATCTGGGCCAAGTGTTATGCATGTTCCTGCTTTGCATATCGTGAATTTCAGAATTCAATGCCTTACTACCCAGGCACTGTCCAAGGTATGAACCGCTGTAATATTATTAATTGTAACTGTTGGTCATGAAGGTCGATCACGCAATGCAGATATTTGACTGGAAGAAATCATCTCAGAGTAGCCCACTTGCTTGATGGGGTTAGAGTACCCGCTTGTGGATCGTCTATCCTTGATCAGTATTTATACAGTAATATTACCTTACCCCTGAACAGTAATAATACATACCATCTCCAAGTACGCAGTATTACCGTGGATGTCTTCCCCTATACAAGCCTGAAATTGAAATCCCTGAATTCGATAACAGCATAAAGTAGCGCTTTACCGCATCGCGCTTATGAATATTTGGCAGTTGGCTCTCATCACCGCTATTCAGTATTCAGCTCCACACTGCACTGCATCACCGAGTCAGTCACCAACCTCTGCCCTGGCCAGCCAGTCAATCCCCCTGCAGTCCCAGCTTGGCAGACAAGCGAGTTTCTGCATTGGGATATATTCAGCGAGACCTCAGCTCCCACMATTCATTCCAAGTATTTGTCAGAGATGCAGCCAGCCTGCCGGGATTTACATTCGCAGATCGATAGTGGCCGCCGCGCGGGCTAATCACCGTCCAGATCAGCCATACGTCCCGGCCTTGGCCGAGGGTCAAAGCACAAACCGCTCATGCCTGAGGCGTTCCAATCTGTTCAGGGGCGCTTATGCTTACGTTAGCGCTGGCGCTTGCCACGTGGGGCTGTCACATACCAGCCGTTGGAATTCTGTGAGTGGTATTATTATTACGGGGAGCGGTTACTGTGTCTACCGCAAATAGGTACCTAAGGTACATAGATGCATTGGGTACCTACCTTACCTCCTTTTTCAGGATAAGGCAGGAGTACTCCGTACTCAAAGGATTAATATTGTGAAGCTTGAGCTGTATGACATTAACAGGTAAATGCAGAATGGTAGGTTGTGTATTAGCGCAAGCCGACAAAAACAGTGCAACTGCAGCCATCCAGCCGTCATACAACGGTTCTGCTAGATGCGATCTTGAAATCGAGCGGAAACCCTGCGGCTGAATCGGGGTTGCCGAAATTGCTGTGGCTCGACGCTGTAGTGCATATCGCTTGGCGAACTGGAACAGGCGAATTCTATTGGCTTGGGAAGATGAGCAGGGTGTTAGATATGACTCGCAGGATGGTATTACGACGTCGACAATTGGGTCTACGAGATCTGCGGCAAGTTCAGATGAAGTATCCTTGATGGTTCTCAATTTCGTGGGTATGCTGACAATAGGGGTATTTACGAGACCGCGATCTAGGTTTACCCCTGAGTTTGGACTCCAGCTGAATGCAGCTTCTGCTTATCCTCTGACTTGACTATTTGACGGTGTAAGAGTTGCATATCTACCATCATTCACCAGGTTACCAGGGCTTCCTGATGGAAAGCTGTTGGAGGGTTAGCAACTGCTCCAACTATGAATATTCCCTGTTTGCATATATCAAAATTGTGATGATGAGTGCACTGCACCTCTGCCAAGTTCATACATGGAATAGGAATGAAGAAGGATGATTCTTAATGATCCTTGTAGGCTCGTGCGGTATGAGACCCCGTAGACAGGATCCTCGTGTCGACACTGAGCTCGTCTAGTGGAATACAAACGACAAAGAAACTGCAAGTCTCTACGAGATCGAGTAGTCGATACGGGACATGCTCGAAAAGTAAGCTCTTCCCTGGCATGCTTCTCTCGCTCAGGCAGACTGGGTTGGAATCAGGAACGAGGAGCCTTCTTAAAGTCTGACTCTGACAGGTGTCGATCTAAGGGCGATGACCAGTACGCCCGAGGTTATCGGATCTTCCAGCCTCTTCGCCACAGCGGCTGAGTATACCCTGCGCAGGTCAGTGACCTTTCTCACTATGCTGATTGAAAAGGACCACACGTGTGCACAGGCTCTCAATCCTTCTATTAATGACGTTTCGTTAGTTTCATTAATGGCTAATGTAGTCCAGGTAGGATCATCGTTTCACAAGGCATATAGTGTTATGCTCAATCTTCCTTCACAAGGCATATAGTGTTATCCTCAATCTCCTCCCTGTCCTTCTCACAGGCCACCGCCTCGTCCTTGGCTCGTTCATGCCGGTGGTGCTGAGCCTCTGGTAAGTTCATAAGCCACGGACCAGTCTCGGCAATGATTTGATCCGCCAGTTCTTGGGGAAGTGGATGGGCAGACGATAGATGGGATCGTGCTTCCTGTTCCCACCAATCGAGACGCTGTGGGGGCACATTTCGCGTCGAACAGATGCGGTAGGAAGGATCAACGAGCAACAGGGTCAAAAAGTGACAGCGTCCAGGTCGAGCTTTGTCCACCAATTCAAACGATTCAAGGCGGTGGCGTAGGCAGTTTGGAAAAGTGATGAGACCCCCTTGACGTATAGACACAGACCCGAGTTCTTGAAACGCTGGTCCCTCATCCCGAACACCGAACAATTCTTCCAGGTACGGAACGTCCCACTGATTGTCAGCGAACGAGAAAACGTCGCCACGCATGGAAACCTCTTGAGCGAAGGAGATGCGGGCATTTGTCACGTTTTCAAGATCAAAGCAATACATGGCTATTCCCGCGATATGCTCGTTCAGGAGACCGTCCGCGTGCCAGTCCTCGCCCAAGAAGGATGGATTATCGGGAGTGAGCTCAATGCCCCCCAGCTTGACAATAATCTGTAGCCCCTTTTCGCGGAACTCGTCCTGGAGTTTCACACTCTGGAACTGATGATTGATCTCGTCTCTTGCTCTGAGCATCTCATTACGGACCATTGGATCCATGATTTCGCGGCGGTTCCGCCAGAGTTCCGTAAAGAGATCATTGTTGTCGTAATCCTGACGACCGACGATTGCTCGGGCCGTTCGTCCTGCCCTCCAGTCTTCGTAGGAATAGGTGGTGCCAGGCTCGGAGTGCTGGAACCGAAACATGCGACTGTATTTGATATTCACAACTTCACGCAAGGATAATGTTGCCTCCCAGTCTGCGGGGATTTCGCTTGTTGTATTGTACGGCCATTGCACCTTTACTCCATACTCTGGTAAAGAGAGGTACTCCTTGACGCGAGCGAGCGCCCGCTGGTAATCTTCAGTTGATCTATCGACGTCCAGCGTGGTCGGAAGATCCTCAGCCCATTGAGGATAACGGTTATCCCACTCGACCCCGAATGTGCGGATTCGCATGGGCTCCCGTCCGACAGAGTCCCGTGACCGCACGTCCCCAAACATAATCAGAATCTCATTCCATGGCTCAATAACTTTGGATATCACACCTTCCAGCGTCCTGTAGAATGGCCGCTGCTCACGGGGGTGAAGATTATTGATGTAGGAGGTAATCCGCACGTCTGTCGATCCAGCCGGCCCACAGAATTCAACCTCGCAAGGCAGCCATTGATAGCGCAGTGAGTAGAGGTATTTTTCAATTTCCCAATCCAATCTTTCATCATGGAGCGGCGGCGCTACCTCTCCTTGCCCGTAAGCGTCCAGAGTCTGCTCAAGCGGAACACTGCCGCCACTGATCAGCACTCTCGTGCGTTCGCGAGTCAGCGGGTACAGTGAGGGGTCAATCAGGTTCCAAACCTGCTGGTTTGAACTCGGCTCCCAGTCCTTCTGCCCGGCAGACTCGTTTAATGCAGAAGTGACGAAGTCCTGGATCTCCGCGGTCACTGCAGGAGGAATGATGGTGTCTGATTTACACACGCCACTGCCAGCGTTCAGAACCATAATTAGACCAGTCTCCTGCCATCGCTGCGCTTTGTCACGCAGCTCAGCCTCGCACCATTCCCATGCCTTGGGGCTGATCAATGGAAATTGCGCCATGGCTTCACTTCGCCAAGTCTGCATGGTGGAAGCATCAAAGACCAGCTCCTCCCAGCCTGGTCGATCAGTTAAGGAGTTCATCAGCCTCAGCATTTCCAGTTCGCGGGTGGTGAAAGGCGACGGAAACCAGCAAGAGCCTACAAACGCTCTGTCTGATGATGCTGTGACATCAAAGGGAACTCCATTGAATCCTGGCACCATCAAGGGTCCATCGCCTGTATTGTTGAACTCGACCTCGTCACTCATCATACAGATCACTTTGCTGAAAGCAGCTGAGAGAGGAGATTTGCAAGGGGCGACTCAACGAAGATCTATCAAGATGTAAGGCGCGAGGCCCCATGGCTCATGCACTGCAAAATTTAGTGCATGTCGTCTGAGACATTGCCAAGAACTAGGCCACAAACTCCCAAGCTAACAGTAAACAGCTCTTAGATTCGGAGCGGCGGATAAATTTCCAAACCACTAGAGGGAAGAATACTAGCCATAATGTGCTTGGCGTCAATAGATGCGCGAAATTTAGTCTAAGGCCGTTTTGCAGACAAAGACACTTATTATTGATCTGAGACCTGAGCAATAAACAAACTCTGACGGAGCTCTGGATCAAGCTCCACTAAGGCACCGTTTGGATTAGCTTCTCTTGGCTTGGCAGTAGTCTTGTTTTCCGGGCCAATCTTCATCCTTCATTGTCATTTTTCATTGTCTCGACAGTCCTAAGGGCCTTGGCGATCCGGGCTTGGGTGTACAGCAACAGCCGGAGCTTATCTGGTGCCCTAGTCTCTACCACTTAGGGTCTCTAAGACCGTACTAACAGGCAATCCTCGAGACTGCTGGCACCGGCGCTGAATGTAACACCGTTGAGAGCTGGATTTTCTAAATTCGATGCCAATTTCCGCTCAATCTTGGTTAAACGTTCTCCAGATACTTGGCCTGTCAGTTGCACGGCACCTATATTGTCCTTGTGTCAAATGGTCACTCTATCAATTCTGTTTCTGGGATGGCCAAGACTCTAATTCACAACTGCCACCAGTAAAATTCTTGTTCTCATATCAGATGCGGTCGGACATCTGCTGCAGGATCATTTCTACTAGCTAGAAATGGATATTCTGGACACCTTTTTAGCTCAGTCGCTTTGGTATGTCAACAGATCCAGTTTCGCCGATTACCCCGGAGAGCGACTCCAACCCCTGTAAACCTCCAGACCGCAACAGACATACAGGCGAGGTCAGGGCTTGGGGCTGTACGGAAAGTCCAAAGGTGTAGATGGGGTTGTCCATGATACAATAATATCGGCCTGGTACGAGATTCTGTTACGTCTTTAGTATGAGGATGTCGCAACAGGTTGTGGCTCTATAAGAAGGTGGTCCTTGCCATGCACGTCTGAGGTAGCGTATATGCTTTAGCAAAAGGGCACTTCCTGGCCAGTGTCATTCTCTGATTCCTGCAAGCCTTTGGCCATCACATTCGTTTCCAACCCTTGCATTCGTTTTCGATCTTTCTTTGTTGTCATTTATGTTTCGCCCAAGCAGCGATGTTGGGCTTTCTCATAAAAGCCGCCCTTGTAGGGCTCGCCTTGGGGTCTCAGTCATATTTACACCATGCCCACCTCCATCAGCATCACACAAACTCTTCCATACATGATGGATTCACAGACCTCGCGGCAACACCTGAGGTGACCGACCCCAGCGGACAGCTGAATCAGACCTTCCTTCGAACCACGCCAAAAATGATGCTTTTAATGGACCTAAAGGTCTCGACACCAAAGAAGAGTAAGGGTGTTTTCGCGCATTTCATGGTAGGCATCAATATCCATCATAATATGCAACTCTAACAAAGCGCAGGTCGAAAATAGCCGTTCTTGGAATGAATTAGAATGGGCGTTCCATATCGCAGTGGCCAAAGAGGCACACCTGGATGCATTTGCGCTGAACTTTGCCGCGTCTCTCAAAGATCTACAGCCACTAAGGTTGGCTTTTGCAGCGGCAGAAGTAGAAGGATTTCAACTGTTTCTCTCCTTTGACTATGCGGGTGCTGGCCCCTTTGACAAAGCCACTGTGATTGCGATCATTAACGAGTTCAAGTCGTCGTCCGCGTATTATACCTACCAAGGGAAACCGTTTGTGTCGGCTTTCGAAGGTCCTGGAAACGCGGCGGACTGGAAAGACATCAAGTCAGATACTGGCTGCTTCTTCATTCCCTCGTGGTCCTCCCTTAGGGCCAAGGAAGCTCTGAAGCTGGGCAGCCCAGATGGGCTCTTCAGTTGGGCAGCCTGGCCGTGGGGCAACCATGATATGGACATGTACGTTGATGCATCCTACCTCGACTATCTGGAACAGGCCGGAGGAAAGGCGTATATGATGCCAGTCTCCCCACGGTTCTATACGAACCTTCCAGGTTATGAAAAGAATTGGTTATGGCGAGGTAAGGGCTACCAAGGGAAACAAAAGAATCAGAAGGATGACCAGTGATGCTAACCAATAAATATCTAGGAGATGACCTCTGGCGAGACCGCTGGGAAGAAGTTATGGTGGTGCAACCCGATTTCGTCCAGATCATCAGCTGGAACGATTATGGGGAATCCCATTACATCGGCCCCCTGTACGGCATTGATAAATACGAGGCGTTTAGTGTGGGCCAGGCGCCCTTCAACTATGGCCACGGCATGCCACACGATGGCTGGCGTCTCTTCTTGCCCTACTGGATTGATACCTATAAGAATGGGAAGGCGTCCATCACGAAAGAAGGAGTGGTGGGCTGGTACCGTCCGAACCCTACTGCAGCATGCAATGATGGCGGTACCACAGCCAACACCGCCAGTCAATTGCAATATGAGTTTCGGCCTGCAGAGGTTGTCCAAGACAAGATCTTCTATTCAGCACTGCTGACCTCCATGGCCACTGTCACCGTCACTGTCGGGGGCGTGTCTATTCCTGCTACCTGGCAGGATATCCCTGACGGAGGCGTGGGTGTGTATCACGGTAGCGTTGGGTATGGTACTTTCTATGGCGATGTGAAGATCTCCATCTCTCGCGCTGGAAGTACCATTGCAGAATTCAGCAGTGCTGCTATTACCACGAGCTGTACTGACGGCTACGCCAACTGGAATGCCGTTGTTGGCAGTGCATCAGGCCCCAGCATCTCCGCCGTCTCCCCTGAGCTTGCTATCGACGAGCAGGCCTGCATTGAGGGCACAGCACCTGGCAACTTCCAGGGGCTGTGCAAGTTAACCTGCCAGTATGGCTACTGCCCCATTGGAGCCTGCGTGTGTACCAAAATGGGCGCCCCCAGAGTCAAACCCAAGGCCACAGGCATCAAGGGATATCCTATTGCCGGTGAAGGATCCAGTTACATTGATCTCTGCAGCTTCGCGTGTAACTACGGATACTGTCCACCTGAAGCCTGTGGCCCGGTGGAGGTGCCCCTCACGGAGCCGACGGTCTCGCCTTTCCTGCCGTCTGCGTGCACTGCAGGCACCGGCCAGGGCGACCTGGCGGGGCTTTGCTCGTACGCCTGCAACTACGGCTTCTGCCCCATCCACGCGTGCACCTGCACAGGCACCGGCGCTCTCCACCAGCCCCCTGCGGCCAACACCACCTTCACCGCATTCTACCAGGGCGGCGGCGACGACGCCGGCCTGTGCAAATTTGCCTGCCAGCGCGGCTACTGCCCCGATGCCTGCGCCAGTACCGAAGGCCAAGTTCTGTCCTGCGACGAGGACGATGACAGCCCCGAATGTGCGGAAGAAGACACCTCGCCCCCCTGCGATCTCAGCCTTTACTTCTCATCGTGGGAAGCTCTCCAGGCAGCCAAAGACATCCCCGAGACCTGCATGCCCATGTACGCCATGCAGGTTCTGATGGACACGCTCAACACCGCCCTGCAGAACTACACGGACGTCAACAACGGCTATGACGAAAAGTTCGGCTACTACGTTAAATACCTTCGCGACATGGTGCCAGAGTCAATCAATAAGGTTATCGCAGATAACGGTAAATACGTCAAATGCTCTCAGGCGACCAAGGGCGGATGGTCTGAGCCTAGATCATGCTTTATCCCGCTCGTTAGCGACACATGGACCGTCAAGTACACCTTCGTCGACGAGCAAGGATTCTACGACGAATTGCAATCCAAATACGGCATCCAGCGGGACTGGGTCGAGGTTTCTGACGTCGTCCATGAAGACAAACTCTGCACCCCAAACCCCCGGAGCGGCGGTATAGTCTGCCACAATATCAAACAGACAAACCAAAATATCCCCCACGCCAAGGCCGACTTCACCATCCTCAACCCCAAAGACTCCATCGCTGATGCGCTGCCCCGGTTCCAAGCTCTCCAGCGCGACGTGGTCTCGACATGGGCCGATCTTTCCTTCTTTCTCTGGGACGGGGACGGCGAAGACGCAGTGGAGGCTCTGTCCACTCCCGTCTTCATGCTCCTCCAAGCGGTCGAAAGCATGGCGACGGTGAAGGAAATTGGCGAAAAGGAGAAAGAAAAAGAGGAAGAAGAGAAAAAGAACCTCATCATCACCATCATCTCTGCGGTCCTGCTCATTCTCCCCTTTGCGGGTGAGATTGTTGGCAGCGTCGGGGGGGCAGCCTGGATCACAGATACGGCCCTATTGGCAGATATAACTGCCAATTTAGCTATGGTAGGCTATGATATTATAACCAACCCAAAGTCAGCGCCGATGGTCCTGTTCTCAGGGGCAGGGCGCACTGGGGCGAATTTTGCCAAGGTAGCGAGTGTTCGGCGCGGGATCAAGGCGGAGGATCTGGCCAAGTTTGGGAGCGTGTTTAAAGAGAATGACGATCTGCTTCAGGGTTTGATTAAAGTCTGTAAGACATGAGCAGGTTTGCAAGGGTATTTGGACTGGATTTTCCTCTAGAAAGAGAAGCTGGGAATATACAGGAATTTAGGAAGCGAATGAGCAGAACCCAGATTATTACCTTGCATAGGAGGAATGACCATTGTCATATTCAGCTGTTGGAGTGGCTGGACACGGACATAGGTCTACGAGAGTAGACGAGAGTAGGTGGGCCGGTCCCCTAAAAGATAGACAACGCCCGGAGAACATCTTACACCTTCCTGTCCGCTTCCAAAACGGACGGAAGGTTGCGCCGTCCAGCGGGAGCGGATTGTCTGTATTGAGCAGCAGTTGCGCTTACAGAGACAGGGTATGCTTGTGAGGTTGTTGCAGCGGTCTTGATACGATTCGGGGATATGTTACCGGAGAGGAGATCATGGGCCGACTACGGAGGAGTTTCCGGCAAATGGATGTAGTGGGAAGGATGCATGAGGCTCGAATTGACCGATTTGTACATATTTGCAGTAACGAAAGCTGTACTTCATAGTCGTATACGTATCCTGCAGTCGTACTCTGGAAAAGCTGATGTGGCCAACTTGAGCTGCTTGCGCAGCAGTTTCATGGGGATTCATTGCTAGAAAAGATCAAATGATCCAACGCCAGTATGCACATCACGGATCACCGGACATTCCAATGCAAAATCAAGACAGAAACACACTAGATCCGAGGTGACCAGAATACCAAGGTTTCACACCTCATAGATCGCGGAAATCACCAATATAAACGCGCATCGGGGTACATTTGACATGGAATTAACAAGAAAAGACAGAAACAGAACGCTCAAGGGGTATATTCCGATGCGTACATCATAACCAGATATCACCTTCTTCGCCATTTACCCACCGTTTCCAGACTTGATCATAAGCATTCTCTAAATCACGAACCCAGCGTGTGGTATCAAAAAGACGGCTCGCCATTCTCTCCTCAAACAGCATCCGGCGGAGGTCAAATAGCCGGCCTCGCGCTCGACCGCCACACCCAGGTGTGTACTGGAGACTGAGACAAAGGCGGATGGCCTTGTCCTCGTAGTCTTCATCGGATACTGCCGTCAACTCATCTCGAGCCTTGCGGCCAGCGTCAGAGTCCGGCAGCGCGCTGCTCAGGATGCTGCTCGCCATCCGAGAACACATTTTGTACTTGTAGCGGGGATATGTGAGCAGTGGTGTGCCGCTCCATAGCACGTCTGTCGCAGTCGTGTGCGCATTACACTCCGGCGTATCTAGGAACAGGTCCAGGATCTTCGCCCGAGCGATGTGGGCGTTCTTCGGAGCCACATCCGTAAAAATGATCCGGGATGCTGTCTCCCGTCCAGCCCACGCTATGGCCGTCTCCCGGAGGTTCTGTTCACCCAGGTCCGGGAAGCGAAGCAGCCAGAGGACGGCGTTGGGAATCCGTGCCAGTATTCGAAGCCATGTACGGAACGTTGTTGGCTCAATCTGAACGGAAGGGCTCAGCACATTGCACACTCACATCACAAATAATCAATCATTAAATGCAATACTCACCTTGTACAGTTGGTTGAAATTGCCAAGGATGATCGTGTCATCGCTGAGATTTGGGAACAGCTCTTTCCGCATTCGCCACCGCCGCTCCTGCTCCTGTTCCCAAGTGATGCGCGCGTCTTTCGCGTCGGGAGCGCTTTGCCGATGATCGCAGCAGAAGAATGTATCGCGAGTATAGGCAATCTTCTCTCCATACACCCAATCCTCGAGCTCCTCGCCGTGGTCCTGCTCCAAGAGTCTATCCTCAATGCGGGCGTTACGTCTTCCAGGGCCAAGCGTATCGACAGGAATGGAGATCTCATCCGCAAGAATATAATCGCACCACTCAGCGCCCAATGTCCCTGCAAACCCCATGAAGGACATATGTATTGGGGCAGGTCGTGCAGCGAACACCTCGTTGCGCGCTCCCCGAGTGTAGCCGTTGAGATTCACAAGGATGTGGATCCCATCGTCAACGATCTGCTTCACAAGTCTCTCGACGGGCCAACAGCTGGCGTCGTGGAACACGGGTGCTTCCTTCTCGATCTGCTGACGATGCACGGATTTGTCGCTTGCAGTGGTTGCGTAGCAGTATGCCTTAACCCTGGACGGGTTGTGCAATCCAAAGACAGACTGCATCAAATGCGCGAGAGGGTGATTATTAAAGTCCGACGACACATACCCAACCTTCAGATAGGGATTTGGAGGCGGCGGCGGTGGATACACTGTAGCTGGAAGCCACGGAGAACGTAGGGTCGAGCATGAAATTCGAAGGCCATTCCTTTGAGAAATCTGACGGATCTGCTTCGCAGAAAGCGGACAGGTGAACGTGTGAAAGGGAAGAACCGTTGGTGCATTGGGCGCTGCGAGCCCCGGTGGAAGTTGCGGCCGTTGATATTTGGTTAGCGGGTATTCTTTGCCGTAGATATAGCGGTCCTGGTACCACTGCCAGGTGATCGAACGATTTGCACGCTCGATTAGTTTGACGATCCGCGAGCCCTCCCACTTTTGCCCAGCCCAAGAATGCAGTATGGCGACCAAAGACCCAGAGGCCGAGCGGCGATTCTCCAAGGCCGGAGCGATCTGGACGCAGAGTTGCTCTATCGTGTTACGTGTTAGTAGACCACGACCCCACGACTCCCCCTCCTTTAGCTGTCGATTGACGATATCAACGACGCGCTGTATCCAGCCAGTACCGGTCTCGCTGGTAGATGCATCACGGAGCATCCCTTGCTCGGTGACATGCCATCGGTCGCGGAAACCATACCCATTGGCAATGCCTCCACGTCCGACCCAGTTGCAGACGGAGTTCAAGGCATTCGCCAGTCCGCATACTGCTTCAGCGAATTCAGGGTTCACTTTGACGGCACGCTTGTAGTAGGCAATCGCATCGTTGACTCGACCTGCATCTTTGACGGCATTGGCCAGATTGGCCAAGGCAATATCAAAGTTACCATCACAATGAACCGCTTGCTCGTACATCCGGATGGCGGCCTGGAGCTGCCCAATGTCTTTAAGCAGGCTACCCAGATTGGTATAAAGATGCGCGTGCCGCGAATCGAGGTGTAATCCGTAGTTGTAATACGCTAGTGCCAGCGAAATCCCACTTCCGGGAACCACTCCAGGAACCTCAGGGTGTTGTACTTCCCCGCTAGAACGAGGGAGGCCCTTGCCGGCGGCATTGTTTTGAATTCCAGCAAGCAAGATCCCAACGTTATTAGCAGTTGACGGACTCTGCTGTAGGGACAGGGAGAGGTAATAGAGTGCCAAGATGTCTCGAACCCCAGGAGATTTCTTGGGAATGCCCGAACCGGAAATATTGGACATGCCGTCTTGATAGATCTTTGCCAAGGAAAGCAGTGAGTTGCTCGTGGTCGACAAGGCGGCTTTCCTTGCAAGGCCTTCCGCCACAAACTTGATCCCAGGGGGAGTTCCGCAGGGTGCAAAGACCAGCTTCGAAGTCTGTAAGGCCTTATCAGGATAAAGAAGAATAGTCTCCTGGCTCTCGTGAGAGTTCAAGGGCGAGTAAGCCTGATGAGAACCATGGGAGAAGGCGGAATATATCTGTTTAATCAGACTTTGAATGCCATGGCGACGTCTCCCTGCCGCAACCAAGACAGCATCCTCGAAGGCCGCCGCAGCACCAGCATTATCGCCCAACGCATAGAGCATGTTGCCCTTTGCATGAACGAGCGCAAGCATTCTCCCATTGTCACAACCTGGTATAGCGTAGCCGCTGGAGCCAAAGCCAACCGCGCTAGATTCAGAAGGCTTCCGGTTACCGACCAGAGACCGGTCAAAATCATCGTCGTAGTCGAACGACGCCTTCTCATAAGATCCAACACTTGAAGTTCCGCTATCCGCATCACTCTCCGTTTCGCTCGCATGTTCATCCGTGGTAAAACAATCACCATTTTTGGGAAAGCGTAGGGAGTTCTGAACATAATCGATGATGTTCACTGCTTCTTTACCGCGATGGCTGCTACAAAGGAGACCGATGAGATGCTCCACAGCCTCGAAGAAACTGGGACGGAGCTTCACAGCACGAAGCCAATGTTGTAGCGCCTCCTCGCGACGATCAAGCGCAAGCAGCGTCGCTGCGAGATTTGAGATCGCCTCCACATGCCTAAATGCAGTCAGCACATATACACGACAACCTGGGCAACCTGTACTTACGTTGCGTCCCTCGCGATAATCCTGGAGTACCACCTCATGGCTTTGTGATAATCCCCAAGTCCATAGGCAAGGCAGCCGCCAAGCAGCATCCCATCAATCCACTCCCAACCACTCTCCATGCAGAGATGTGAGAGCATTTCAAGAGCAGAGATGGCATTTGCTGTGGTGGAATTTTCACCTGTTGCAGAAAAGGAGAAACGGGGAGCTGGTCCCGGAGCTGGTCCCGGAACTGCAACTCTGCCGGTATGCCGCAGTCTGTCCAGCATTTGTGAATCTGACGTTGCGTACTGTTGGAATTGACTCAGAGAAGGACGGCGATTATTCTGGAAAGTAGCCGTGGTATCCACTGGCCTTGAATACCCAACAATACTAGTCTTCTGATGGCGCCCATCATATTGGCTTGAGGGGTAGCTATTATGGCGATGGAATTCGGGACTATTCGACTGAGAGAAATCCAAGCCTGGCTGCCGTGGAGGTTTGGGATATATGCTTGGTTTCAAGCGCAGGGACTGCCCATCACTGCCGGCCTGGGAGATGCTGTTTCGACGGGCTTGATGGATGGACGCGAGGAGATCAACATATACACCGTGAGCCCATGATAGTATCTTCTCCTTGAATTCGACGTTTGCAGCGCGTGAGTGGGCGGTCGTGAAAGAGCTGGGCAACCCTGGCCCGTTGGGCTCAGGCAGCACGGAGAAGGATTCTCCGCCTTGCTGATTTGTTGAAAACCCAGTGCTAGGATTAGTACGAATGTGCAACGGGAGAACGCGCTGGTTCAGGGAAGAATCCAGAGATTTCTGTGCGGAATGACGGGGAGGGAAGTTG